CAGACCGACTTAATTTGACTAACAATAGACGGACCAAAAACCAACCAATTTGACTAACAATAGACGGATCAAAACCCACCGAAGAAAGCTTCCAAAAAATGTCATTAAGAGGAAAATAAAACAAATACTTTTTGAAATTGTAGCTCCAGAAGAATGTTATATTGATCTTTCAGAAATCATTCAAAAAGTAAAGCTGAATTTATTTTCCTCTTAGTTTGTATTCATTAATATTCAATAATTTCTTTTAGTGTATCTGTAGTCTCTCGTCGTAACTGTCGTTAATTATTATTTGTAATACCGTTGGTTTATTAGTTGTCTTTAGTCATTGTTGTCAATTTTAGTTTCTTTAGTTCTCTTGTTGCCTTCAGTTATATTTAGTTGTACCTAGTTATATATTAATAATTCGTGTAAACATGACCCGCCTAGAGTAGCTCAGCCATCTGCGGGCATGTTATAATTGTAATTTTAATTTGAAAACAAAATTAAAATGTATGTATGTAAATGTATGTATGTAACCCAGCAATGACTGATGACAAACTTTACACGAGTCTTTCAGCCAGCACCAACATGGCTAAACTGACCAATCATGCTCAACAGACCAGACTTATAACATCATTGACTGACAAAAACTATTCACTTGACTCTGAAGATGACTTCCGTTCAGGTTGTCGAAACGTCAGTCACCAACAACAGTTCTTTTCAGAACTACCCTCACCAGGAGGATCACACTATACGACATAAGCATGTGCACGTTTGTATCAATATAAATACCAGAAGAGTTTGAGAGTATAAATATATTGAGCCCAGATGATTAAAGACCACTATTGAGTTCAGATCCAGAATTATATAATGTCATTATGACTGTACCTGCACGTACTGGTATTCTAGTCTAAGTCGGAGTAAAGTTCAGTGTTGGGTGGTGTGGTGGCCTTGGTGATGGTTAGCTTGCTTGACTGTGGATTGAACAGTTAGGGTTCAAGCCCTGGCATGGCCAGGGTCATTGCATTGTGTTTCTGGGGAGGATACATATACTTGACTACTCTCACAGTGCCTCTCTCCACC